ATGGTTGTGGTCCGCAATACGGAATACAAACGATGCATGATGAAATACTAAAATTCAAGGGTGAAGTCTCATTCCTTCCAATCAGGGGACTTGGTCCTCAAGAAAGTGATCCTCACCACAAATGATTCACACGGAGGGAAGTTGAGACCAAATTGGGAAGGACCCTACCTCATAACAGAAGTGGTGAAGCCAGACACCTAAACGATCCAGAATTTTGAGGAGAAGGTCTTACTTCATCCATGGAATGCAGAGCACTTGAAGAGGTACTACCAATGACACCTTAAGAGCATCAAAGTAGTGGAAGTTAGGACTTGGTTTTATTTTCTACCTTTTATGGGGTAATTACTCGATATTCAACGTACGTTTTTGGGAATTATTAGCCAACATTGCTCTATATAAGCAATAGATCAATAAAATTTTTTACGTTTTTACTCCAAAAAGATCTTTTGCATTTCATTTCAAAAGAGTATCAGTACAAAAGTAAGGCTATAAACTATATTTCTAAAAAAAAATTAAAAGTCCCTAGCACTCTAACTGGTCTCACGGTCGTCCTCCACCTCCTCCTCATCATCCTCAGCATCATCAGAGCTCCCCTCACTATCATTAGTAGGCACGAAGCCTGAGAAGTCAATATCAAGAAAAGCAGCAGAAATCTTCCCTCGAAGCTCCTCGTAACCATCAATGAAAGCACTGTGAGACCATTCTCCAAGTCTACCTCAGCACAAGAAGCTCTCTCCTGAGCAGCCTTCAATTCTGTCTCTACAGAAACCTCTCTGAGCATGGCCCTCCCATGGTCTCTGCAAGTTCAACCTCCCTAAGCGCGTTCCTCTCGTGGATCGCCAGAAGCTTAGCCTCAAGCTTAGTTGCCCACTCACGGGCCTTAACAAGCTCACTATTCCAAAGCGCGTCCCTCTCACGGGTCGCCAAAAGTTCAGACTCAAGCTTGGATGCCCTCTCGTGCCTACTAGCTGCTTCGAACCAGCAATCCACCCTTGAGCAATAAGAAGCTCTTTTTGTGCAGCGTTAAGATCCAGCTTCAGCTTGTCGTGATTATAGGCCCTTGAAAGCAAGCAGATAGATGAAGTCGAAACCTGAAAAAGATAAAAGGTGGAGAAATGACAAAAGGCATAAGAAGGAAATGGAGAAAGGGAAATAACGGACCCTTACCTGAACCAGACCTTCCAAATATGTGTTGACAACCCTTTCAGTGCCCAAAGTACTAAACTGACAAACTTCGGGTGCAAACACAAACCTCCTAAGCCTTTCCCTGATGATTGGCGATCTGCCCAGCATGGGACCAGACCAAGTCGGTCCTTTTGTAGAAGTTCCCACATGAGGAGGGGACAAAGGAGGAGCAGAAGGTGTGCCCGACAAGTAAGACTTTGGAATAGCAACTAGAAAAATCGCCGACTGAGGAGGCACCATCGTAGTTGTCACTAGGGGGCATTACCTGTCCTCGCCACCTTGGAAGTAGGAGGGCTCCTACTAGAATAGCGGGACACTACCACCCTTTTATTTGCTATAAAAATAGTAAAGTGTTATGCAGATGAAAAGTACCAAGTGAAGGAGAAAATTAAAAGAGGAAATCAACTCACCTCTCCTCTTTGAAGAGGAGCCACCGGCCCACCAGACTCTGGGGAGGGAGCAATAGTCCTAGTATCCTTGGGCAAAAGAGCTCCCAAATCTTTGTTAAGGCAAGCCTTCATGGCTTGCAACTTCCACTCTTGGTCTTTGGAGAGCATAAACATGTGTTGCAAAGGGATGATGAGTATATATACATAAAAAAAGAGAAAGAGAGAGAGAATAAATGTACGGCGTACCGGATTTTCTAGTAGCACCCCACCATGTTGGGACCAAAGCCCTATCGGCTTCTGCAGCCCACTCTCCACCGATAAAGAAGAAGTGAGATTTCTAGCTGTGGTAATTGGAGCATAATCCCGTGAGTACCGTGCCACTTCTTGTGGTAAAATACTACTACCCTCTAGTTGGTACAGGAGTTTCGCTCAAGTTATACGCTGCATGGAACTCCACAGGAGAAGTATCCTCATGATGCACTTTCCTCCATAATACAAGAAAGCCTAGCAAGACTCTCCAACCATTAGGCGCTAACCGCCCCAGAGCCAAGAAAAAGTAATGCAGGATGTGAGAAATGGGAGAAGACATGGGGAATTTGAGCCCAGCCTCAAGCGTCTCCTCGTAAACGACAATGTCACTAGAGGAGTCGTCACAAGCAAGTTTACCCATCTCAGCCTGGCGACACAGCACGGTCGGAGGAATATGATAAGTAAAAATAAGCCTCAAAATATCTTCATCTGAATTGAACAAACTGGAAAGGATAGTTACCTTGGACCCATCGTCATCAAGTACCACTTTGTCTTTGCGTTTCTTACTATGGGGATGTAAGGAATGGCCTGAGCCACCACCTAGGAGGTCTTGAGGGATATGGGTTTGAGAAGCCACACTCAAAGGAGTCAAATCGTGATCACCAAAAGTGGCACCCAAAACTTTCTTGTCGCCTGCAGTGTTCAACCCAGCACTTGGAGAGGTGCCTGACACCCTATACTAGTCCAAACAAGGCAGCCCAGCACCTGGAGAGGTGTCTGACCACCTTTGCTCTCCCAAACGGGGCATTCCTACACCTGGAGAGGTGCCTAATCCCCTCTGCTCGCCCAAATGGGGCAGCCCAACACCTGGAGAGGTGCCTGACCCCCTCTGCTCACCCAAACGGGATAGGCCAACACTTGAAGAGGTGCGTGGTCCCTTCTGCTCACCCAAGTGGGGCAGCCCAGCTCCTCTTGGTGGCTGCACATAAAAACTAGCCCCCTGTCCAGCCTTTTGCTCACCTATGGTGCTCTAAATTATGCCCACATGGGCGCCCAACATTCCCTTTTCATGCATAGCAGGTGCACGCCCACCGATGACACATGGGTCAACACTAGGGTCGCCCGAAGTCTCCTCCATAACAGCAATGACCAGCTCACCGATGGCAGCAACGCCTAGCGCCTACTCGCCCAACACACCGGCAGTAGCGCCTAGCGCCTGCTCGTTCTTCTCTATGCACGCCTGGCCCTATGTGGCCTATTTGCCTCCACTATAGGCAATGGGCATTCCGCCCAAATCAAGCTGCTCGCCTGCCTCCATGGAACCCGCCTTTGTAGCCCCCAATGGACCAACGCGCCTACTATCACGCCCAGCTGCCCCACGTGCAACACCGGCGCCCAAAGACATTAGCTCCGCTGCCTGAGACCTTGAATCACCAATTGGAACCATGGGTTCCCCTATCGTCGGCATCCCAAGCTTGGACAGTCCATTGGGTGCATGAATAACGGTGACAATGGATGCCCGAGACACTTCCACACCGGTACCTAGTGATTCCTCCTCTACTCTAGGGACAACATTAATCTCTCTGGGCTCACCACCAAGATCGAAAAACCTTTCTATAAACGACATGGCTTCTCAAATACTCAAACTTGGATCTCCAAAGATTTCAAGAAAGAGCACTCTTGAATTAGTTGAAGAGAATGGGTAGAATAAGAAGTTCCTATTTATAGTCTAGAGTTTTCAAAGAGGGAAAAACCTAAATTAAAAATCAAGGTCTCTCTAAAAAACCAAGTAAAAATGGGAAAAGATTTGAGGTGTTCAGAGCAAGACAAAACACATCAAGAATGAAGGAGGAACCTTGGTATCTAATGCAAAAAATCTTTTAAGGTCCGGGGCGTTGCCCCCGAGCCCTTGCCACCTGATCGGGCAGGTGGAACCCCGCGACCTATCCGGGCAGGTCGATCCCCGAGTCGAAGCGCAACATGGACATAGCGGGAAGGGAGTCTTCATGGGTCAGAAATCAAGTTCAATTAAATACCCCCTTCTCCAAGTATTCTTAGACATAGGGCATTGAGGGACAAATGATGGGGCAAGACCAAATGACCCAATCCATGTGGAAAGTTTAAAACTTAACTAAGAGCCCAGTCTTGCATGGACCCACCAAGCCCAATATGGTCCAAGATCAATCAAGCTCATCAGGAAGCTACGTCAGCTTAGCCACGTCATCAAGGGAGAATCCGGGAACCTTACCTGCACCGCCGAGGAAACAGTCCACCCTCACCTTATCCTTGACCGCATCGCATGGAGAGCACCTCAACCACCTTGCCCGCTGAGAGGAAATCGTGAGCTCCACCAAAACAGTTGTTTAGTTGTTGTAAAGTAGTCCCAACCTGCTACGGGGCCACTATAAATTGTACGCCCCAGCAGCATTTGGGGGCATCACACTTATACCTGAGCACAACTTTCTCCTCTCCCTCAAAGCTTGTACTCTCTGCTCTCTACACCCTTGAGCTAATAAAGTACCCGATGACCAAGGTCATTCAAGAGTGAACGTAAGTCACATTGACCGAATCACTATAAATATTGTCTCCCCCAACTCTCTTTACTTTCAATTACTACATTTATTTTCAATCACTTGACAAGTGGTGTGCAAATCCATTTTGTGCATCATCACTTGACATGGGTTATATTTGATTGTCTGTCAAAGTAGAAGAAAAATTGGGTCAAACTATATCTATAAACTTTGTATGTGTCATGGTGTAAATGGTGAATGTGAATGGCACAGTCATTGAGAAAAGCCCAACTATCATGTCCCTGCTACACCTAGAGATGTTTGTTGTTCTCCCATCTGGCGCCAATCACCTAGAGAACTTCTTTAAGATCAATTTATCAATTAGAGTTTACTTTCTGCTACAATTTAGGAAAGTTTTGAGAGCCTGATTTACGCTTTCAACTTTATCAAAAGCTTACTGTCCAACATTTATGTATTAGTGTTCAACCAGAAAGGTTGTGCTGGCCACTCTATCATGAATAAGCTTATGACTGTTTTGTCATACTCCTCCGAGCCCAAATGTCTTAAAAAGGTGTGTGATTTAGTCGTTCTAATTCAAATAGAGAAACCAGATTTGCTTTAGCTGAATTTACTAAGGAAGCTCGCTCTTTCCTTAGCAAGAGCTCAGATGCCCGTTCTTGTATCGATAATCATTAGACTGATGTTGGATAAACAAAGTTTACCGCCAGTTGGTATTTTGGCGACTATCATTCTTCATATGGTGAAAACAGAGATTGGGATATATCTTGCATCAAATATCTTGGTTAAGATTTGTGATTTTTGTCAACGTGTCACTGCAAGTAAATCCCCTAGCGCTAACATGATAAAACCTGATACAATGATCTTTAACCTTGTTCTTGATGCTTGTGTGAGGTTTGGATCATCTTTCACGGGCCAACAAATTATGGAGTTGATGCCACAAGTTGGGGTTGTAGCTGATGCACACATTATTGTTATTATTGCCCGGATCCATGAGATGAATGGTCAAAGGGAGGAGTTAAACAAATTTAAGAATCATATTGTTCATGTTCCAATATCTTTGGTGCCTCATTATCAGCAGTTTTATGAGAGTTTACTGGTCTTGCATTTTAAATTTGATGATATTGATGCTGCTTCTGCACTTATTTTGGATATTTATAAATTTTGGGAGTCTCTTCCTTCTAAACAAGATAAAATGAACTTGTAGAAGCCTTGTATTGTTCCAATTGGTTCTCACAATCTTAGGACAGGGTTGAAACTACAGATTTTATCTCTACAGATGCAGAAGGATCCTATTCTCAAAGTGGAAAGTAAATAGGAGCTTGTTATGCTTAAGAATGGTAAACTTGTTTTTAGCAACAAATCATTGGCCAAGCTCATCATAAGATACAAGAAATGTGGGAGGATCAAAGAGTTCTCAGAGCTTTTAAGTAGCATTCAAAACAAGTTAGGTTCATTGGGAGAAGCCAGTTTGTTCTCTGATGTGGTTGACGCTTGCATTCATCTGGGGTGGCTGGAGAATGCTCACGACATATTAGAAGACTTGGAATCGACAGGGACTCCTCTGGCCTTTGGTTCGTATTCTTCACTGCTCACAGCTTATTACGGGGTAAAGATGTTTAAGGAAACAAAGGTATTGCTAAAACAAATCCGGAAGGTTAGTTTCCTTATGAAAATGTCTAATAAGGTGGTTGTCTCAACACATCTTTCAAAGGTAGAAGATGAAAGCAACTCATATTCAAAAGCAGCGACTGCAATTGGCAAATCAGATTTGGCAGAATCTATCATCCGAGAAATGAGAGAAGAAGAGAAAGCAGTTCCTTCTATGGTTTATGAGTTGAATTCTTCAAACTTCTTCTTCATGAAGGCCAAAATGATTAGAGATGCCTTAAAGACATATTGAAGAATACAAGAGATGAATGTCCAGCCCACGGTGTCAACTTTTTTTACTTTGATAAATGTGTATTCTTCTTTGGAAATGTATCGCGAAATCACAATCTTATGGGGAGATATTAAAAGGTATACGCAGAAAGGAAATTTATTGGTCAACAGGGATTTGTATGAGTTCTTGTTAAGGAATTTTCTTAGAGGAGGCTATTTTGAGAGGGTGTTGGAGGTTATTGGTTACATGAAGGAGCATGGTATGTTTTTGGACAAGTCGATGTATAAAATTGAGTTATTAAAGTTTCACAAGGATCTTTACAGGAGCTTAAAAGCATCAAATGCCAAAGATGAGACTCAAAGCAAGAGAGTTGAGCATGTTCGGGCGTTTAGAAAGTGGGTTGGCATCAATTGAAGTTTGTAGGAGGGCGAAGGTAGGATTGACAATAAAATAGCCCTGGACAGATGGAACGACAGGAGATTGGAGACCAGTGACCAGGCACACAATATTTTTTGGAAGGTAGGTTCTTCATGTCCTAATCTCGCTTACGCCACTCTTCATCTTTCTCAGAAGCAAACCTTTTGTTGGGGTTGAAGTGGAGTGGTAAATTTTTAGCTCAAACACTTATCTCTCTTTGATGCCTAAAGAAAATACAGCTATAACCTACATTTTTTTTAAAACAAAATTTTTTGTACCAAATTAGTATAGGGATTAGTGCACTGACTCTCACTAAATATCGAATAATTATGGTTGTGTCACAACATTTGCTATTGATAAATAGAACATAAATGTAGAAATGTTAGGGCAAACATATGCAACTTAGTGATGATGAAAACTCTTCATGGTTTATGAAATCAATCAAGCATTAATGAATACCAAAACTTTCACTAGATCTTTGATACCAAATGATATGGCATTTTGACTATGATTAGATAATTAGAGAAAATGAATGTGAAATATAGCATTCTTCATCAATTAAATATATTCAACTTAGAGATGATTAAAACTCCATGGTCTATAAAATCAATATTCTCTCTCACTCTCTCTCTCCACATGGAAACCTGTGGACCCTTTGATCCTTTTCTTTTTTTGAACTGAATGGACCCTTGAATCCGTGTTCTTGGTAGACCTTATAAACGTGTGTCCTCTTGACTCGCTGCCCCACTCTTAAATCTCCTCTTCTACCTCCTCCTGAATCTCCGCATCAGGCCTTGGGACCATGACATTCATCAATTAACATAAATTTTGATAAAATTTTTGATAAATATAATATTCTTCGTCAATTAACATATGCAACTTAGTTTCATATCAATGACCAAAACAAAAAAAAAAAGAATATGCGTTTGTCGTAACTTCCAGGAAACTTACTTCGCAAGAAGTCGAAAAGCAAAGTTGAGAGAATTATTTAGGATAAAAAGATAATAATACCTTAATCACTTTTAGATTTTTTGTTATGTTGTCCATCTAGAGTTTTTACTAAATGAAAAATAGTCTGAATACATAAGGGAGAGAAAATGTGATTGGGTTTGGATCAGACTTTGATTGATTCGAATCCAAATCCGACTTTAAAAATTCGATTCGATAATCTAACGAATTTTATTTTCGTAATCTATATCCGAATTCATTGACAATATGAAATTTGATCTAATTTGGATAACTTAATTTAACTAAAATTTTATCAAATAATCACTTAAATTTTAAATATTTATATAAAAAATAGATAAATATTTTGGGTTGGATGTAGGTAAAAAAATATATATATATCGGAATCAAATTCGGGTCGAATAACTTGATAAAAAACAATAATCCATATTCAGCTAATTAGATTCGGATCAAAATCCGATCTACTGACAGAAATATTTATTAGGGGATCATTATTTTTCAAACAATGGATTTAACATAAAAAGGCAAATACTATGTTTTCGAACAATGGAGAGGCAAAGTGCTATATGTGGAAATAATAGGGAAGAAATATGTAATTTAGGCTTCAAATAGGCTTTTTATTTTTAATTTTTGATAGATAACGATATTTTACACTATAAAGGGAGGGGAGGCGGACTCGAAACAACATGCCACCCTTTTATTGAGGTCTCCAACCATTTGGGTACGATTTCAGTGATATAACCAAAATATTCAGCTATTTTACCAAAAAATCATGAAGCTATGTTTAGAAATTCAACTTTTGTACATGTTTAGACTCCAGGGCTAGCACTATTTGATGACCAACAGTAGGTGGTTAGGTTTCACTTGAAAATATTACTTTCCTATTCAAACTTTGCAAAATTTCAAAAAGAAAAAAAATAAAATAATAGAAAAGAAAGTTCAATGGCAATATTTAAATTGACATCTACGAGTAAAAGTTCACCAAGCACGTTGACAAGTAAGGTCATTTAAAGTCCAATTAAGTTTTTTTTTTTTCCCTTCCTTCTAGCCTCCTAGAGTGCTAATGGTTGCACAAGACTGTAAGAAATTGTCATACAAGGACATAGTGGAATAGAAAATTGTGTTGCAATAGATCGTCTTTAATTAATTATGTTAAAAGATGATACGATCTATTAACACGATACAAAATTAGAGGATTTGAATATTTCTTATGCCACTCATTTAGTAAATAAGTGAACTCGACATGACACAATTAATAAACAACTTGAGTATGAGTAAAGCTAATAAAAAGAAATATACGATACGATTTATATATATACTAGTTATATACAATTCATATACGACACGAACCTGAAATGACACGATTTATTTGACTCGAATTAATAAACGAATTGAATATGAGTGAAGTATTTTTTGATACGAATTCGTAAAGACTTTACATAACTCCACCTCTCCTGATGTCATTGACAAACCTATGTCCAATCCAAAAAGTTTTTGCTATGAGAAAAATAGGACGAAAGACAATTTTTCTCATAATTTGGTGAAGTTACTAATATACACCCTATGTGGTTCACCCCCACCAAAAAAAAAGGGTGGAAAAAAACCTAACACAAAATGTTCACAAACCCAACGAGGAATCAATCGGGCAATTGCTCAAGTTAGTTAAGCTATTTAAACCTCAACCCAATCAAGAATGTGGTGTTGTTCAAGATTATCTGCACCCAATTGATTCAAATGGTTTTTGATACTACTTTCGGTTATATTGTCATTGTGTTTTTTCTAGATTTCTTTTGATTGTAGAGTCTATCAGCATCACAACGTGACTTATTAGATATACATAAGGTTATCGATAATATACGATGAGTGATTTATTGTTAAAAGATTATCCTCACCCAATTGATTCAAATGATTTTTGATACTACTTTCGGTTATATTGTCTTTGTGTTTTTTCTAGATTCTTTTTTATTGTAGAGTCTATCAGCATCACAACTTGACTCATCAGATATACATAAGGTTATATATAATATAGGATGAGTGATTTATTGTTGAAATTTACAAGTTTTCAATTAAAGAACCATGCCATTTATTTCTTATGCAAAACAATTAATGATTAACCATACATTAAATTACAAAAAAGAAATTAGCTGAAACCACATTATCCACATTTCATTTAGACCCAAGAAAAAAAAACTTGCTTATCTGGTTCACAAAAAAATAAACATAATAATCCTTAATTTCTTTTCTTATACATAAATTAATCAATAGTTATCCACAATAAATAGTTACTTGCCTATGAGATTTACCTCACATAAATTTATGGTGAAAATCAAGTGGATCTTCTAAAATTTAGGTTGCGTTTGACGTAATTTTTCAAAATATAGTATTTTGATTGCACACTTACCATTTTTAAAAATGACATTGAGATTTCAATAATTTGAAGACTGTAATGTTTTTAACAAACTTTAGTTTGCAAGAAATAAAATGTATTATCTATTTGTACTATTAATTAAAGGAGGAGAGAGAGAGATTTTGGTGTCCACGCATAAAATAAGTATAATATCCATATTTTTTTTATGATAATTATTCATAACTTTCTTTTTTATTATACTTAATTATTTTTTCATAAAATATTCTTCTTCTTTTTTTTCCTTTTCAATAACCACTTACAACTACTTATAATTTTTTATTTAATCATTTAAATGTTTATCAAAGAATATTAAAGCCCCTAAATTTATTTAATTAATTATTTTTCACTTCTAAATCTTTTTCCATCTATCCATCTACACATTGAGAAAATATTTAATGCTTATCAGGCATCTACTATTGTACATTATCTATAAAATATTATATATTATTTATAATCTTCTTTTGAAAAAACTTAAGTTGAAAATTCGATAAGTAAGTGTTATGGCAATCAAGCAGCATAGGGCTCCATTTTAGAAATAAGTTGAGGCGACATCGTTTCACCAAGCAGTTCCATTCTACGGCTCAATCGACTCAGATTCTGGTTGAATTTCTAGTCTGATTAGTGACTTTACAAGGTAAACCCTTTCTATCTCGTCAACATTTCTATTTGTTCGGTTTTGTACTTTCCTCATAAACAAACAGATCATTTGTTTCTTCCAACTTATATAAATTGAAATTAAGAATAATGTCGCCAGTTATACCAGTTATCTTGTGGGGATCATTACTAATAGCTAATACTCAACTCAATTCAACTCAGCCTTGTGGGTCGACTACACATAAAATGTATTATGTTTTGCCATTGAGTTTTATTAATGACGATCAACATTAATGGGTGAATGATGTTATTGTGAGGGCATAAATTTTGATAAAAATTTGTACTATTAATTAAGGGAAAGAGAGAGATTTTGGTGTCCACGCATAATATGAGTATAATATCCGTAGTTTTTTATGATAATTATTCATAACTTTCTTTTTTATTATACTTAATTATTTTTCATAAAATATATTTTTTCTTCTTCTTCTTTTTTTCTTTTAAATAACCACTTACAACTACTTATAATTTTTTATTTAATCATTTAAATGTTTATCAAAGAATATTAAAGCCCCTAAATTTATCTAATTAATTATTTTTCACTTCTAAATCTTCTTCCATCTATCCATCTACAAACAAAGAAAATATTTAATGCTTACCAGACATTCACCCTTGTACATTATTTATAAAATATTATATATTTGTAATTAATTATTGGTATTTGTGAATTTATCATCTTCTTTTGAAAAAAATTAACTTGAAAATCCGATAAATAAGTGTTGTGATAATTTTTTATTAATTATAAATACTACATGGCAGTGGTACTTTGATGCCTTATAAGTTATAACTACCGAATATTTTCTCCCACAGACACGACTACCAGATTTGCATAATCCTATTTAGAATTATGCGAAATCATAAGTTACCTTATTAAATTACGTAAAAAGAAAATTCTTTAATTGAATTTATTTTGTGACAGAGACGGAATATTCCGTTGTGCCACTGTAATATTTCCTTCCTCCCCAAACCCTCTTATAAACGGCGTGTTCTCTCACTCTCACCCTTCAAAACCGTTCCTCAAAGTTTGGCTGTGTTCTCGTGTCTCTCGTCTCTTTCTTCGCTTCGGCCATTCCAACTTCGCCTCTCTGTCTGTCTCTGTCTCTCATAGACAAAGCAGCGTCCGAATTTCTCGGGAGCCAACGACAACCGTTGATCAAATACGCATATATATCGATAGATATACACACTGTCATACACATTGCTTTTTGTATGTGTGAAAACCATAAACCTCTCTGCAGCTCGCTTTCCTCTTTCTCTCTCTCTGCGTGAAAAGCGACACTTTTCCGGTCATCGTTTTCTGCCGGTTAGTCAATAATTTTTTTACTTTTTTCTATCCGAATTGTTTTTCATTGTGATTGTATCTTTATGTAAAATTGAGATGTATCTTCCATATTTAGGGTTTTTGGTAGCTCAGAAATTGAGGGAAAATAAAAGAAAATTTGAAGTTTCTGGTTCTTTTTTTGGATTTGTCGGTTATAGAAACTGAAATCTCAAGATTCTGAAGTTGAGAAGTTTGTCCCTTTCTTTCCCATTCGTATTATATTTTCTCAGCTAAAGCCATCGACGTTTGTTTTTTTGTGAAACTTGAGGAATAGAAGGGAAGGGAAGAGATTCGTGGCTTTTTGATTTTTTACCGTATAGTTCGGCAAATTCAACGTAATTTCCAAGCTGTTCCATTCTACGGCTCGATCGGCTCAGATTCTGGTTGAATTTCCAGTCTGATTAGTGACTTTACAAGGTAAACCCTTTCTATCTCGTCACCATTTCCATTCGTTCGGCTTTGTAACTTCCCTGGAAACAAGCAGATCATTCAACTCAGCCTTGTGGGTCGGCTACATGCTACATGAATTCTGTTTTGCCATTGAGTTCTATTAATGACGATCAACATTAATGGGTGAATGATGTTATTGTGGGGGCATAATGCTTGATTCTTGGCATAGGCCATATTTGATTGTCTGTCAAAGTAGAAGAAAAATTGGGTCAAACTACATCTATGAACTTTGTATGTGTCATGGTTTAACTGGTGTATGGGAATGACACAATCATTGAGAAAAGCCCTATTATCATGTCCCTGCTACACCCAGAGATGTTTGTTGTTCTCCCGTGTGGCGCTAATCACCCAGAGAATTTCTTTAAGATCAGTTTACCGATTAGAGTTTATTTTCTTCTACAATTTAGGAAAGTTTCAAGAGCCTGATTTACGCTTTCAACTTTATCAAAAGCCCACTGTCCAACATTTATGTACTAGTGTTCAACTAGAAAGGTTGTGCTGGGAAGGATCTCCTCATGATGTTTTGCTTAAAAAGCTTGAGATTGCTTTGAAGAATTATCAAGTGGATGAAGCATGGGACGCCTATAAGGATTTCAAAAGCCTATATGGTTTTCCTGGCCACTCTGTCATGAATAAGCTTATGATTATTTTGTCATACACCTCCGAGCCCAAATGGCTTAAAAGGGTGTGCGATTTAGTCGTTCTAATTCAAATAGAGAAACCAGATTTGCTTCAGCTGGATTTACTGAGGAAGCTCGCTCTTTCCTTAGCAAGAGCTCAGATGCCCATTCCTGCATCGATAATCATTAGATTGATGCTGGATAAACAAAGTTTACCGCCAGTTGGTATTTTGGCGACTGTCATTCTTCATATGGTGAAGACAGAGATTGGGACATATCTTGCATCAAATATCTTGGTTGAGATTTGTGATTTTTGTCAACGTGTAACTGCAAGTAAATCCCCTAGCGCTAACATGATAAAACCTGATACAATGATCTTTAACCTTGTTCTTGATGCTTGTGTGAGGTTTGGATCATCTTTCAAGGGCCACCAAATTATGGAGTTGATGTCACAAGTTGGGGTTGTAGCTGATGCACACACTATTGTTATTATTGCTCGGATCCATGAGATGAATGGTCAGAGGGAGGAGTTAAACAAATTTAAGAATCATATTGTTCATGTTCCAATGTCTTTGGTGCCTCATTATCAACAGTTTTATGAGAGTTTATTGGGCTTGCACTTTAAATTTGATGATATTGATGCTGCTTCTGCACTCATTTTGGATATTTATAAATGTTGGGAGTCTCTTCCTTTTAAACAAGATAAGATGAAGTTGCAGAAGCCTTGTATTGTTTCAATTGGTTCTCACAATCTCAGGACTGGGTGGAAACTACAGATTTTACCTCTGCAGATGCAAAAGGATCCTGTTCTCAAAGTGGAAAGTAAACAGGAGCTTGTTATGCTTAAGAATGGTAAACTTGTTCTTAGCAACAAAGCATTGGCCAAGCTCATCATAAGATACAAGAAATGTGGGAGGATCAAAGAGTTCTCTGAGCTTTTAAGTAACATTCAAAACAAGTTGGGTTCATTGGGAGAAGCCAGTTTGTGCTCTGATGTGGTTGGTGCTTGCATTCATCTGGGGTGGCTGGAGAATGCTCACGACATATTGGAGGACTTGGAATTGGCAGGGACTCCCCTGGCCTTTGGTTCATATTCTTCACTGCTCACAGCTTATTACAGGGTAAAGATGTTTAAGGAAGCAGAGGTATTGCTAAAACAAATCCGGAAGGTTGGTTTCCTTATGAAAATGTCTGATGAGGTGGTTGTGTCGACACATCTTTCAGAGGTAGAAGATGACCACAATTCATATTCAAAAGCAGCGACTACAATTGGCAAATCAGATTTGGCAGAGTCTGTTATCCGAGAAATGAGAGAAGAAGAGAAAGTAGTTCCTTCTATGGTTTATGAGTTGAATTCTTCAATCTTCTTCTTCACGAAGGCCAAAATGATTGGAGATGCCTTGAAGACATACCGAAGAATGCAAGAGATGAATGTCCAGCCCACAGTGTCAACTTTTTTTACTTTGATAAATGTTTATTCTTCTTTGGAAATGTATCGCGAAATCACAATCTTATGGGGAGATATTAAAAGGTATACGCAGAAAGGAAATTTATTGGTCAACAGGGATTTGTATGAGTTCTTGTTAAGGAATTTTCTTCGAGGAGGCTATTTTGAGAGGGTGCTGGAGGTTATTGGTTACATGAAGGAGCATGGTATGTTTTTGGACAAGTCGATGTATAAAATTGAGTTCTTAAAGTTTCACAAGGATCTGTACCGGAGCTTAAAAGCATCCAATGCCAAAGATGAGACTCAAAGCAAGAGGGTTGAGCATGTTCAGGCGTTTAGAAAGTGGGTTGGCATCGATTGAAGTTTGTAGGAGGGCGAAGGCAGGATTGACAATAAAATAGCCTTGGACAGATGGAACGATAGGAGATTGGAGACCAAAGACTAGGCACACAATATTTTTTGGAAGGTAGGTTCTTCATGTCCTAATCTCGCTTACGCCACTCTTCATCTATCTCAGAAGCAAACCTTTTTAGTTGGGATTGAAGTGGTGTGGTATATTTTTAGCTCAAGCACTTATCTCTCTTTGATGCCTAAAGAAAATACTGCTACAACCTACATTTTTTTTAAAACAAAATTTTGTGTACCAAATTAGTATAGGGATTAGTACATTGACTCTCACTAAATATCGAATAATTATGGTTGTGTCACAACATTTGGTATTGATAAATAGAACATAAATGTAGAAATGTTAGGGCAAACATATGCAACTTAGAGATGATTAAAACTCTTCATGGTTTATGAAATCAATCAAGCATTAATGAATACCAAAACTTTCACTAGATCATTGATACCAAATGATGTGGCATTTTGACTGTGATTAGATAATTAGAGATAGTGAATGTGAAGTATAGCATTCTTCATCAATTAAACATATTCTACTTAGAGATGATTAAAACTCCATGGTCTATAAAATCAATATTCTCTCTCTCTCTCTCTCTCCACATTGAAACCTGTGGACCCTTTGATCCTTTTCTTTTTTTGAACTGAATGGACCCTTGAATCCTTGTTCTTGGTAGACCTTATAAACGTGTGTCCTCTTGACTTGCTGCCCCACTCTTAAATCTCCTCTTGGTATTATATTGGTCATTTACTTCATTTTATGGGGAAAATCTTGTTCATATGCCTTTTTTTTTCCCCTGGTTTTGTGCAGTTAGTGGTAGTGAAGTTGAAGCATTATTTGAGCTATACAAAAGCATTAGCAGTTCTGTGATTGATGATGGGCTAATAAGCAAGGTAATTCTACCAGTACTTGTACCAAGGGCTCCTTTTATATACTGTTCATTTTGTTGCAATGCTTACCTTGCCCTTGCCTGTACCCAAGTTTCACTTTCATTTTTTCTCTACCTAGTCTGCCATAAGATTATGTTATGACTGTCCTTTAATGATAGTTCAGATCTTCTGTGATCGATATCTAAATAACACTGGGGTCATCAATGTTGAGCTGCATCCTTTTATTATGATATCTAATGGTTTGAACAACTATAAACCAGTTCTGCAACCAAAACTCAAGTGAGGCACTGTTTGTCAAACTTCTTGAGAATTCCAAGACATTTTCATTGACACTCATGGATACATAGTGTTGAGAAAACTTGGGATAGATGCCTTTGAATCTTTTTCCCCCTGTTTGTGACACAGGAAATTTCCTTTAACATATGATGTTTGTACAAAATATCAAACTTCTGGTAAACATGGGGGAAGTTCATATTCGCTAGAAATCGAATGGAATAGTTTAAGCACCTGGGTTGTCGACTGCCATTATGTCCATCATGTCATATGATTGTCTAGGTGATTGACTGAGCTTCTTTTGCGTATTAAGAGCCATGAAATCTATGAATGAAGATAGATTCTTGGGGGAAGGGTGAAAAATATTATTTCGTATTTTTACTTAATTTCTAGCTTGTATGGGAAGTTTAAAGATTTACAATTGTTTAGGATGCGGTGGTTATAAAATGGTGAAATTAGATGTTGCTGTGTGATTAATCTTAGTCATAAAATAGTGTTGGTGGCTAAGAACTGTCAGAATACTGGTTTCACATAATTACTCTTTGATAATTTCATGTGCATTGCATTTTTTACAGTATCATCTGAATTGGCAGACAATGTATTAAATATGGTTATTTAGCTATTTTTTAAGGTTCTCACTGCCTGATATACAGAGGAAGATTTCTTTTTTCTTTAATTTGGATCCGATGTGATATTCGATGTTCATGCTCGGTATGCAGGAAGAATTCCACTTGGCTTTATTCAAGAACACGAAGAAAGAGAATCTCTTTGCAAATAGGGTATGATGTTGGATTCAATTGAGATTCGGTTGAATTTTTTTGTGCTTTAAATATCATGTTGGTTCTTATTCAATGACAAAATTTAATTTTCAGCCTCTGTAAGTGAATATGCTAATAATAATAAATCGTTCAGTAAACATATCAGAACGTTTTAACTTTTTATGTAGTACTATTTTGTGGATCCATAATATGTGCAGATTTGAAGGGTGGTACTTGGTTGGTATGATGTTTAAGTATTTTGGCAGGGATCCTAGATGTGTATTGGAGAAATTAAAAATCGTACATCCATCTTTTGTCTGCCATGCTAATTAATTTCACTTGAATTGTTGGCTGAAACTTTTGCTGTTCTTTTGTGGTCTATAATTGAATTTATACATGACATTGATTAATGTAGTCTATTCTTTTGTCACGACATGCACGTACTGAATAAGCAGCTTGGATGTGTTTTTGGAGAGGTGATTGATAGTACCACTTTGGGTGTCTCTTGTTAACTACAAATTTCTCATTTGAAAGTAGCATTATGTACTAGTAGATGAAAGTAAAGAAGAAATTAATAATAAACTAGAAATTTAGCGAGAAACCCTAAAATCAAAGGATATAGGATAGTAAGACTAAAACTGAGTATGTTGGAATGTAACTTTAGTAAAAGTAAAACTCAAAACCAAAAAGTAATAAAAGTTGAAGATCAAGAGATACTAAAGAGTGAATACTTAAAATATTTAGGGTCTATTATTTATAGAGAGAGTAAGATTGAATGTTATGCATAGAATTAATGTTGGATGGGCTAAATGGAGTAATGCATCTGGTGTATTGTGTGATATATGTATACCCCGTTAAGTTAAAAGGAAAATTCAATAGAATGACCATAAGACCTGTTATGCTTTACGGTGCTGAGTGTTAGACAATTAAGAAACATGTCCAAAAGTTATATGTGACAAAAATGATAATGTTAAGATGGATGTATAGTAAAACTAGAAAAAATAGAATTAGAAACAAATATATTCATGAAAAAGTAGTGGTAGTACATATAGGAGATAAGTTTAGGGAGAATTGATTTAGATGGTTTGGACATATTTATAGACGATTTACTACGACATTGGTAAAAAAGACTGATATGATAGTTATTGAAGGTAAACGTTGGGTTGATAAAAAAAAAAAAAAAGAAGTAAACATAGAGGTAGAGGAAGACCAAAATTAACTTTAAATGAAATAATAAATGAAGATATAATAACTTATGATTTAACTGAAAACGTTGCCCTTATACAGCTCAATGGTGAAACAGGATTCATGTAACCGACACCAAAAACGTTGGGACAAGGCTTTGCTGTATTAAGTTGAGATTTTCCATAGCGAATTGGATTTTGTGAGAAGAAAAGGAATTGTAATTCACAAGATTGTCAGTGTGTGATGGTAGTTTTTTAGTTGTTTCTTTGTCTTTGGGGCAGCTAACAACGAGCTTTTCGTTGCTTCTTGTGAGCAAGTGGTCAGATATATGCATCCTTAATTATGGTTTGTTTCATGACAGTTAACTTTTTATTGGAAAGTACGGTGTTTTAACTATTCGTTGTATGACACCAATATTTATCCACGTATGAAATTATTTTTGCAACTTAAGGGTTTTGTTTTTTTGCAAAAGCAGTCTGATGGAAAATAATTCGAACCCTGTTCATGCTGTGTGGATTTGCTAAGAGATAGTTTTTGTAGAAACATGATAGTCCTAACTATTGTAAAATGTTACTTTGTTAGTTGGTAGTAGAGAACCTCTGCTTTATATGATGTAAGATTCCCTCAAAAGAATCCAATCCATTCTACGATGTTGTGGTAATATGTGGATGTTAATAGGATAGAGGTTGCCAAAGAAGGCTTATGCTGCCTTTTGATAGTTGTTTGACCTTAGGTGTTTTAATCGTTAGGACTCGGTAAAGTTTGGATTGGTCAATTTCAGTCTCTTGGACTCGAAGAACCATAATGAGGGAATAAGCCAGACATGCTACTATAGGTCCTCGAGCCTTTTCCCCATCTCCTGCATTCCTAGTGTCAAATGCAAAGACAAAGTGCTGAGTTCTTAGAGTAATTCCATACTTATGCTTGTTTTTCCAAAATGACCTTTAGGAGTATTGGGACCAATTGAAACATTGATGCATCTAATCTTTATGAGGGTCTTGAAAGGGTTGAACCAAATTTATCTCAAGGGCAATGCATTGAAATTGTTGCCTGAATCTATGAATTTAAGTAGAAATTTGATTGAAAATTGATGAGCTATTTTTTCTGGTTGGCCTAACTGTCGTGTGGTTGAATGGAAGCTTCTGCATTAAAGAGTTCAAGTTGTTAAGCTCTATATACTTGCTAGGTTGAATCGGATGTATGTGTAGATTTCTTCACATAGTTAATATTATTCGAGATGATAACTAGTTGCACTACATTTATGATGTGCGTGCCTTTGAGTTGGATTTGTTTTATGTGCAGACATTTGATCTATTTGATGTTAAGCGAAAGGGTGTCATTGATTTTGGTGACTTTGTTAGATCACTCAATGTCTTCCACCCGAATGCCTCAGAAGAAGAGAAGATCGATTGTACGTCGAGATGATTGCCAACACTGGCGGTTTTATGCATCCCAAAGCTTGCGTTGCAATAGCTGCATATATATATTGATTATTTGGTATTGCATTGCAGATTCATTTAAGCTTTATGATTTACATGGCACGGGATTTATTGAGCGGCAAGAGGTTTGTTGCTACTCTTTTGTCTATTTCGTTTAGCTTTTGTGTGGTTCCACTTCCCCGGCTAGGTTCGCAAAAAAATTAGTATTTCCACGTCCAACTCTGCAAATTGCGTTTGCACGTATTAGGCAATGGAAATTTCCATGGTATTGTCATAACTTAACATTTGTGATTACTTAATTTTTCTGTCATCTTGGATAACTTTTTTAAACTCTCACTTGTTGTTTTGATGATGAATGCACCACATATTTTTTGTTGGCTCTATTTTCCGCTGCATGATCTTTTACCAATGAATGTTGTTTTCTCATATTCCCTATTATTAAATAAAGATGCCTCTTACCATATCTTGTTGATTTCTAGTTATTTTGTGCATTTTAGCCAATATGAGAATTTACATGTTGTCCTTGATATTCTGTGCATTTTACCCAATATGATTATTTACAGATTTGCCAATATATGTCTTATGTCGGTTTCTAGTTATGTTCAGAGATAAATCAAATTCATATTATCATGTTGTCCTGGTTCAAAGTATCAACCGATATGAGTTGGTGGAGTTGTATCTGATTCGGCACCTTCCAAGTTGATACCGTTTCATATAAACCCTTAATTTCGCATAACTCGGCCGAGTTATTGTCACTGAATCGGCTAATACGATTCTGCGACGCCGCGATATAACATGAATTGTAGTCGGAAAATCATTTCCCGATACCGTTTTACATCATATTTAACCTTTTCTTTTAGGTCATATTGCCTGATGCCGCAATGGGACGCGATACCACAACCGATGTGTCTCACAGCCTTCCAAGTTGATGGTCGATTTCGCGATCTTGAACCATGTCCTTCTTTTTTCTTTTCTTTTTGTAGTTGGAAAATCGTTGTCTATATGCCATTTTCTTTTTCTTTTAGGTTGGAAAATTGTACAAACATGTTTTATGGCTTGCCATCGTTATCATGATGGGAGGTACAGCAACCTTGCTGCTCATTTGCAACAAGTATTTTCATGCACTGCATTATAGATATATGGATGTCTCCCCTTTTTCATTTTTAGACGATGTTAGGGATTTTGCTAGCAGCACTTCTGGTAAAGACCTTAAGTAGTAGTTGTTTCTCTGTATCCTCACTCTGAAACGAAAAAAGTTATGCATGCTTTGAAGAGAAAAATTTGAATTTTAAACAGGAAGTGTTTCAGCTCCTTGCCCAGGGCTTTGTTTTAACTTGATTATTTTTATTGGGACACACTTGCAGGCATCTTTATTGTCTGTGATTTTCGCAGGTTAAGCAAATGCTAATTGCCCTACTGTGTGAGTCAGAAATGAAGTTGGCTGATGAAACTATTGAGATAATACTGGATAAGGTGAGTTAACATTCCTGATCTTGGAATAGACATTCTTACGTTATCTCTTACAATCTTCTCTGGACATGCTTCACGACCCTTGTTGAGTCAGCTTTATGTTTTGATCCTCATGCTTCCTTGGATTCTCATGTTGCTCGAGCATTTAAGATGGACACCTATTCCACTTGGGCCAGGAATGGAGAAGAAATGGAGAAAGTAACAATAGGCATCAATTGTTTGATCTTAAGAATTTATTTACTTTTCAGAGGTGGATTTAGTGTGCTAAAATATATTTCATTTTCTCACTTTTAAGGATTAAATAGAAGGATAGAAAGTTCATATATGGCACTGCAGGTACACTTCAATTATTTGGTGGCAGGTCTAATTAGTATGATTTTTGTGCATCCAATGCATGCAATATATAGATCTTTTTCAATATGCATGCAATATGGATTGTTTCATCGTAGTGCCTCCCTATCCTTTTCATATGGTTTGCTTACCTCCAAGGTGGTCTGTCGATCAAATTTTTTCATGCAGCTGCTAGCTTAATACTCGTTTATTAACTTTTGTGAACAGACTTTTTTGGAAGCGGATGTCAATCAGGATGGAAAGATAGATAAATCAGAATGGCACAATTTTGTATCCCGAAATTCTTCATTGTTGAAGATAATGACACTTCCATACTTGAGGTATTGTAGCTCATTGTTTGTCTTGCACATAGACATGAGTCACCCAGCGTCTGACTATATTAATTGCTTTTTAACAATATATGCAGGGATATAACTACAACATTCCCAAGTTTTGTGTTTAATTCTGAGGTTGATGAGATTGCTACATAACTTGAGAATGATTTTGTGCACGGTTTTGGATGGGTATTTGAGTTTTGAACCATTAGAACCACTCAATAACACTGAAGTAGCAGAAGAGTATCCAACTGATGCGAAAGTGAAAGATATCTACACTGATTGCCATGGTTGTGGCTGTGTGTAATTAGCAGCCCTATTCCACTTGTAAATTGGTATTTGCTATATCCTTTTTTGCCCGATAATAGGAATTTATGTGCTATGAGATTAATTTGGTCAGATGAGTTCATCTATAATATGATTTGTTCTTTGTTCTGAGTGGATAAATCCTGTCTTGGCTTGAAATTAGATTTTAGTGATACCACTATTTATATGGGCATCAAATCAAGGGTTCGAATAGTAGAAACAGCTTCAATGCATGCGAGGGTAATTCCGCGCCAGTGGGATTAATGATGAATTTTATATAGAGATACAATGCTAAATTATGTATATATATATATATATATTTTTTTTTTAATTCTATTATTTTTTATCACTAAATACAAAAAAGTCTCATTATTTTTACTTTTTATTGTTTCTATCAAACAAAAAGGAAGAAATACAAGATTTTTTCATTGGATGATAGAAAGTGTTACTCTTTATTTTTTGTCTTTCTATTTTTCTATCTAATACACCAAACACATTATTAATAAAATTTTCAGTTCATTACACCCAGAGATGGGACGCAAAAAATGCTCACATGTTTTACACATCCAGCAAATATTTTGTGAAGAAACGTATGGTGCCATGTTCTTGTTCCTTAAATTTTTTGGCAATCGAGAGAATGGGGATCCTGGGTTAAAAGATAAAATAAAAAAAGGCGTAATAATTTACGAGACTCTTGTTATTGTGAGATTTGGAAAGAATTAGACATACGTAGCCTTACTTTTATAAGCAAGATAAGATTGTTTTTGCGATTCAAAATTTTGATTTCCTAATGACTTTTTTTTTTTTTTGGGTCAAAGAATTTTAGATCACAAAGAAACAACTTTAATGTTGAATAAGACTGGATCTGATCCCCGTAATCGATATCATGTGATGTATCGAGTACGAAGGATCTATAGATGAAGCCTTTAGTCTTGAAAATTAAGTTATGACCATTTGGATCTGATTGTTAAAAAGCAGCGAGAGGAAAGAAAGCCAAATAAAAAAATTTAACCCTGGTTAGAGTTTTTTCTTTAATCTAGCTAAATTTTGAGAGCTTGAGTTCGAGTTTATTGAGCTCGTTTTTTTGAATAAGTCTAAAAAATTATTTAAACTCGACTTGTTTAAAATTACTGTTATCAGAACCGGATCGGACCGCCCGGTCAGACCGATTCAACCGTGAACCGGGACCTTAACCGGTCCGATTCCTTAGTTGAACCGTTTAAGAAAGAAAACCGGCTAAAAACCGGAAAATCGGGCTGGTTTTTAACAAAAACCGAAAAATCGGCCGGTTTTTAACAAAATCAATTTTTAAAAATAAAATTACATAAATAAATTTTTTTGCCCTAAATCAGTAAATAATTGATTTTTTTTAACCTTATTCTTGGAAAAATTATAAATAACACCCCTTCTTTTTCTTTATAATTTACTTGAACATATTTACTTTATTTTAAAATACAATAACCCCCACTTTGTTACTTAATTTCATTAATTTTATGGAAAATTTTATGTATTTTATACATATTTTATATTAAATTTTATTATTATTATATATATATTTTTTATTTTTTTATTATATGACCGGTCCGACCAGTTGACCCAACGGTTGAACCAGTGAACCATTGACCCGGTCCCCTTGCCAGTTCGATGGCCGGTCCGGTTCTGATAACATTGTTTTAAACTCTAGTCGAGCTCGAGTAAGTCGATTATTTTACATATAAATGAACAGAAATTTGCAAGCTTTAGCCGAACATTGAAGAAAGATGAGCCTAAAAAATTATTTAAACTCAACTCGTTTAGAATACGAGTTGAGCTCAAACTAAATTTTATCTAAACTAAATTCTAATAATTCATCTCGATTAACACTCCTAATTTTCTCTCGCTCTAGACCTCTGGTAGTAAAGGGATTGGCCAAGCCTGCGAGCCGACCTAAAGTGAGGCCATAGCCGCACTCTGGCAATCAAGCAGTTTAGGGCTCCATTTTAGAAATCAGCTGAGGCGACATCGTTTCACCAAGTTGTTCCATTCTACAGCTTGATCGACTCAGATTCTAATTGAATTTCTAGTCTGATTGGTGACTTTACAAGGTAAATCCTTTCTATCTCGTTACCATTTCCATTCGTTCGTCTTTGTACTTTCCCTGGAAACAAACAGATCATTTGTTTCTTCCAACTTATATAAATTAGAATCAAGAATAATGTCACCAGTTGTACCAGTTAGCTTGTGGGGATCATTACTAATGGGTAATACTCAGCTCAATTCAACTTCAGCCCTATGGGTCGGCTACATGCTACATGAATTCTGTTTTGCCATTGAGTTCTATTAATGACGATCAACATTAATGCGTGAATGATGTTATTGTGGGGGCATAATGCTTGATTCTTGGCATAGGCCACATTTGATTCTTTGTCAAAGTAGAAGAAAAATTGGGTCACACTATATCTATGAACTTTGTATGTGTCATGGTTTAAATGATGTATGTGAATGGCACAATCATTGAGAAAAGCCCAATTATCACGTTCTTGCTACATCAAGAGATATTTGTTGTTCTCCCATGTGGTGCCAATCACCCAGAGAAATTCCTTAAGACCAATTTATCAATTAGAGTTTACTTTCTACCATAGTTTAGGAAAGTTCCGAGAGCCTGATTTACGCTTTGAACTTTATCAAAAGCCCACTATCCAACATTTATGTACTAGTGTTCAACCAGAAAGGTTGTGCTGGGAAGGATCTTCTCATGATGTTTTGCTTAAAAAGCTTGAGATTGCTTTGAAGAATTATCAAGTGGATGAAGCATGGGACGCCTATAAGGATTTCAAAAGCCTATATGATTTTCCTAGCCACTCTCTCATGAATAAGCTTATGACTGTGTTGTCATACTCCTCTGAGCCCAAATGGCTTAAAAGGATGTGCGATTTAGTCGTTCTAATTCGAATAGAGAAGCCAAATTTGCTTCCTCTGGATTTATTGAGGAAGCTCGCTATTTCCTGAACAAGAGCTCAGATGCCCATTCTTGCTTCGATAATCCTTAGACTGATGCTAGATAAACAGAGTTTACCGTCATTTGATAATTTGATGATTGTCATTCTTCATATGGTGAAGACAGAGATTGGGACATATCTTGCATCAATTATCTTGGTTGAGATTTGTGATTTTTGTCAATGTGTAAGTGCAAGTAAATCCCCTAGCGCTAATATGATAAAACCTGATGTAATGATCTTTAACCTTGTTCTTGATGCTTGTGCGAGGTTTGAATCATCTTTCATGGGCCAACAAATTATGGAATTGATGACACAAGTTAGGGTTGTAGCTGATGCACACACTATTGTTATTATTGCCCGGATCTACGAGATGAATGGTCAGAGGGATGAGTTAAACAAATTTAAGAATCATATTGTTCATGTTCCAATGTCTTTGGTGCCTCATTATCAGCAGTTTTATGAGAGTTTACTGAACTTGCATTTTAAATTTGATGATATTGATGCTGCTTCTGCACTTATTTTGGATATTTATAAATGTCGGGAGTCTCTACCTTTTAAACAAGATAAGATGAGCTTGGAATTGATGACACAAGTTAGGGTTGTAGCTGATGCACACACTATTGTTATTATTGCCCGGATCTACGAGATGAATGGTCAGAGGGATGAGTTAAACAAATTTAAGAATCATATTGTTCATGTTCCAATGTCTTTGGTGCCTCATTATCAGCAGTTTTATGAGAGTTTACTGAACTTGCATTTTAAATTTGATGATATTGATGCTGCTTCTGCACTTATTTTGGATATTTATAAATGTCGGGAGTCTCTACCTTTTAAACAAGATAAGATGAGCTTGGAATTGATGACACAAGTTAGGGTTGTAGCTGATGCACACACTATTGTTATTATTGCCCGGATCTACGAGATGAATGGTCAGAGGGATGAGTTAAACAAATTTAAGAATCATATTGTTCATGTTCCAATGTCTTTGGTGCCTCATTATCAGCAGTTTTATGAGAGATTACTGAACTTGCATTTTAAATTTGATGATATTGATGCTGCTTCTGCACTTATTTTGGATATTTATAAATGTCGGGAGTCTCTACCTTTTAAACAAGATAAGATGAGCTTGTAAAAGCCTTGTATTGTTCCAATTGGTTCTCACAATCTCAGGACAGGGTTGAAACTACAGATTTTACCTCTGCAGATGCAGATAGATCTTGTTCTTAAAGTGGAAAGTAAACAGAAGCTTGTTATGCTTAAGAATGGTAAACTTGTTCTTAGCAACAAAGCATTGCCAAGCTCATCATAAGATACAAGAAATCTGGGAGGATCAAAGAGTTTTCAGAAGTTTTAAGTAGCATTCAAAACAAGTTGGGTTCATTGGGAGAAGCAAGTTTGTGCTCTGATGTGGTTGCCGCTTGCATTCATCTGGGGTGGCTGGAGAATGCTCATGACATATTGGAGGACTTGGAATCGGCAAGGACTCCTCTGGCCTCTGGTTCGTATTCTTCACTTCTCACACTTTATTACAGGGTAAAGATGTTTAAGGAAGCAGAGGTATTGCTAAAACAAATCCAGAAGGCTGGATTCCATATGAAAATGTTTGATGAGGTGGTTTCTCTTGATTAACGCCCCTAGTTTTCCCTCACTCTGGACCCTTGGTAGTCAAGAGATGGGCCAACCCTGTAGGCCTTCCTAAAGTGAGGTCATTGCCGCACTCTGGCAATAAAGTAGTTTAGGGCTCCATTTCACTATTTTAGAGATAAGCTGAGGCGACAGTGTTTCACCAAGCTGTTCCCTTCTACGGCTCGATCGACTCAGATGCTGGTTGAATATCCAAAGTGATTAGTGACTTTACAAGGTAAACCCTTTCTCTATCCTCACCATTTCCATTCGTTCCTCTTTGTACTTGCCCTGGAAACAAACAAATCATTTGTTTCTTCCAACTTATATAAATTGGAATCAAGAATAATGTCACCAGTTATACTAGTTAGCCTGTGGGGATCATTACTAATGAGTAATACTCAACTCAATTCAACTCAGCCTTCTGGGTCGGCTACGTGCTACATGAATTATGTTTTGCCATTGAGTTATATTAATGACGATCAACATTAATGGGTGAATGATGTTATTGTGGGGGCATAATGCTTGATTCTTGGTATAGGCCGTGTTTGATTCTTTTGTCAAAGGAGAAGAAAAATTGGGTCACACTATATCTATGAACTCTGTATGTATCATGGTTTAAATGGTGTCTGTGATTGGCACAATCATTGAGAAAAGCCCTATTATCATGTCCCTGCTACATCAAGAGATGTTTGTTGTTCTCCCATATGGCACCAATCACCCAGAGAACTTCTTTAAGATCAGTTTATCAATTAGAGTTTACTTTCTGCTACATTTTAGGAAAGTTTTGACAGCCTGATTTACGTTTTCAACTTTATCAGAAGCCCACTGTCCAACATTTATGTACTAGTGTTCAACCAGAAGGTTCTGCTGGGAAGGATCTCCTCATGATGATTTGCTTAAAAAGCTTGAGATTTGTTTTGCAGAATTATCAAGTGGATGAAGCATGAGACGCCTATAAGGATTTCAAAAGCCTATATGATTTTCCTGAACACTTTGTAATGAATAAGCTTATGACTGTTTTGTCATTCTCCTTCGAGCCCAAATGGCTTAAAAGGGTGTGCGATTTAGTCGTTCTAATTCAAATAGAGAAACCAGATTTGCTTCAGCTGGATTTATTGAGGAAGCACGCTCTTTCCTTAGCAAGAGCACAGATGCCCATTCCTGCATCGATAATCATTAGACTGATGCTGGATAAACAAAGTTTACTGCCAATTGGTATTTTGGCGACTGTCATTATTCATATGGTGAAGACAGAGATTGGGACATATCCTGCATCAAATATCTTGGTTAAGATTTGTGATTTTTGTCAACGTGTAACTGCAAGTAAATCCCCAAGCGCTAACATGATACAACCTGATACAATGATCTTTAACCTTGTTCTTGATGCTTGTGTGAGGTTTGGATCATCTTTCACGGGCCAACAAATTATGGAGTTGACGCCACAAGTTGGGGTTGTAGCTGATGCACACACTATTGTTATTGTTGCCCGGATCCACGAGAAGAATGGTCAGAGGGAGGAGTTAAACAAATTTAAGAATCATATTGTTCATATTCCAATGTCTTTGGTGCCTCATTATCAATAGTTTTATGAGAGTTTACTAGGTNAATCATATTGTTCATGTTCCAATGTCTTTGGTGCCTCATTATCAACAGTTTTATGAGAGTTTATTGGGCTTGCACTTTAAATTTGATGATATTGATGCTGCTTCTGCACTCATTTTGGATATTTATAAATGTTGGGAGTCTCTTCCTTTTAAACAAGATAAGATGAACTTGCAGAAGCCTTGTATTGTTCCAATTGGTTCTCATAATCTCAGGACAGGGTTGAAACTACAGATTTTACCTCCGCATATGCAGAAGGATCCTGTTCTCAAAGTGGAAAGTAAACAGGAGCTTGTTATGGTTAAGAATATTAAACTTGTTCTTAGCAACAAAGCATTGGCCAAGCTCATCATAAGACACAAGAAATGTGGGAGGATCAAAGAGTTCTCAAAGCTTTTAAGTAGCATTCAAAACAAGTTGGGTTTATTGGGAGAAACCAGTTTTGTGCTGTGATGTGGTTGACGCTTGCATTCATTTGGGGGTGGCTGGAGAATGCTCATAACATATTGGAGGACTTGGAATTGGCAGGGACTTCTCTGGCCTTTGGTTTGTATTCTTCACTGCTTACAGCTTATTACAGGGTAAAGATGTTTAAAGAAGAAGAGGTATTGCTAAAACAAATTCGAAAGGCTGGTTTCCTTATGAAAATGTCTAATGAGGTGGTTTGTCTTGAATAAAGCCCCTAGTTTTCCCTCACTCTGGACCCCTGGTAGTTAAGGGATGAGCCAACCCCGCAGGCCTTCCTAAAGTGAGGCCATTGTCGTACTCTAGCAATCAAGCAGTTTAGGGCTCCATTTCACTATTTTAGAGATAAGCTAAGGCGACAACGTTTCACCAAGTTGTTCCCTTCTACGGCTCGATCTACTCAGATGCTGGTTGAATATCCAAAGTGATTAGTGACTTTACAAGGTAAACCCTTTCTCTCTCCTCACCATTTGCATTCGTTCCTCTTTGTACTTGCCTTGGAAACAAATAGATCATTTGTTTCTTCCAACTTATATAAATTGGAATCGAGAATAATGTCACCAGTTATACTAGTTAGCTTGTGGGGATCATTACTAATGGGTAATACTCAACTCAATTCAACTCAGCCTTCTGGGTCAGCTACGTGCTACATGAATTATGTTTTGCCATTGAGTTCTATTAATGACGATCAACATTAATGGGTGAATGATGTTATTATGGGGGCCATAATGCTTGATTCTTGGCCTAGGCCATATTTGATTGTCTGTCAAAGTAGAAGAAAAATTGGGTCAAACTACATCTATGAACTTTGTATGTGTCATGGTTTAAATGGTGTATGTGAATGGCACAGTCATTGAGAAAAACCCTATTATCATGTCCCTGCTACACCCAGAGATGTTTGTTATTCTACCGTGTGGCGCCAATCACCCAGAGAACTTCTTTAAGATCAGTTTACTAATTAGAGTTTATTTTCTTCCACAATTTAGGAAAGTTTCGAGAGCCTGATTTACGCTTTCAACTTTATCAAAAGCCCACTGTCCAACATTTATGTACTAGTGTTCAACCAGAAAGGTTGTGCTGGGAAGGATCTCCTCATGATGTTTTTCTTAAAAAGCTTGAGATTGCTTTGAAGAATTATCAAGTGGATGAAGCATGGGACGCCTATAAGGATTTCAAAAACCTATATGGCTTTCCTGGCCACTCTGTCATGAATAAGCTTATGATTGTTTTGTCATATTCCTCCGAGCCTAAATGGCTTAAAAGGGTGTGCGATTTAGTCGTTCTAATTCAAATAGAGAAACCAGATTTGCTTCAGCTGGATTTACTGAGGAAGCTTGCTCTTTCCTTAGTAAGTGCTCAGATGCCCATTCCTGCATCGATAATCATTAGACTGATGCCGGATAAACAAAGTTTACCGCTAGTTGGTATTTTGGCGACTGTCATTCTTCATATGGTGAAGACAGAGATTGAGACATATCTTGCATCAAATATCTTGGTTGAGATTTGTGATTTTTGTCAACGTGTAACTGCAAGTAAATCCCTTAGCGCTAACATGATAAAACTTGATACAATGATCTTTAACCTTGTTCTTGATGCTTGTGTGAGGTTTGGATCATCTTTCACGAGCCACCATATTATGAAGTTGATGTCACAAGTTGGGGTTGTAGCTGATGCACACACTATTGTTATTATTGCCCGGATCCATGAGATGAATGGTTAGAGGGAAGAGTTAAACAAATTTAAGAATCATATTGTTCATGTTCCAATGTCTTTGGTGCCTCATTATCAACAGTTTTATGAGAGTTTATTGGGCTTGCACTTTAAATTTGATGATATTGATGCTGCTTCTGCACTCATTTTGGATATTTATAAATGTTGGGAGTCTCTTCCTTTTAAACAAGATAAGATGAACTTGCAGAAGCCTTGTATTGTTCCAATTGGTTCTCACAATCTCAAGACAGGGTTGAAACTACTGATTTTACCTCCGCAGATGCGGAAGGATCCTGTTCTCAAAGTGGAAAGTAAACCGGAGCTTGTTATGCTTAAGAATGGTAAACTTGTTCTTAGCAACAAAGCATTGGCCAAACTCATCATAAGATACAAGAAATGTGGGAGGATCAAAGAGTTCTCAAAGATTTTAAGTAGCATTCAAAACAAGTTGGGTTCATTGGGAGAAGCCAGTTTGTGCTCTGATGTGGTTACGCTTGCATTCATCTGGGGTGGCTGGAGAATGCTCACGACATATTGGAGGACTTGGAATCGGCAGGGACTCCTCTGGCCTTTGGTTCGTATTCTTCACTGCTCACAGCTTATTACAGGGTAAAGATGTTTAAGGAAGCAGAGGTATTGCTAAAACAAATTCGAAAGGCTGGTTTCCTTATGAAAATGTTTGATGAAGTGGTTGTCTCAACACATCTTTCAAAGATAGAAGATGAAAGCAACTCACATTCAAAAGTAGCGACAGCAATTGGCAAATCAGATTTGGCCAAGTCTGTCATCCTAGAAATGACAGAAGAGGAGAAAGTAGTTCCTTCTATAGTTTATGAGTTGAATTCTTCAATCTTCTTTTTCATGAAGTCGAAAATGATTGGAGATGCCTTGCAGACATACCGAAGAATGCAAGAGATGAATGTCCAACCCACGGTGTCAAATTTTTTTGCTCTGATAAATGTGTATTCTTCTTTGGAAATGTATGGCGAAATCACAATCTTATGGGGCNCAAGAGATGAATGTCCAACCCACGGTGTCAAATTTTTTTGCTCTGATAAATGTGTATTCTTCTTTGGAAATGTATCGCGAAATCACAATCTTATGGGGAGATATTAAAAGGTATACGCAGAAAGGAAATTTATTGGTCAACAGGGATTTGTATGAGTTCTTGTTAAGGAATTTTCTTCGAGGAGGCTATTTTGAGAGGGTGCTGGAGGTTATTGGTTACATAAAGGAACATGGTATGTTTTTGGACAAGTCGATGTATAAAATTGAGTTCCTAAAGTTTCACAAGGATCTTTACAGGAGCTTAAAAGCATCCAATGCCAAAGATGAGACTCAAAGCAAGAGGGTTGAGCATGTTCGGGTGTTTAGAAAATAGGTTGGCATCGATTGAAGTTTGTAGGAGGGCGAAGGGAGGATTGACAATAAAATAGACCTGGATAGATGGAATGACAGGAGATTGGAGACCAGAGACCAGACCCAATATTTTTTGGAAGGTAGGTTCTTCATGTCCTTATCTCGCTTACGCCACTCTTCATCTTTCTCATAAGCAAACCTTTTTAGTTGGGATTGAAGTGGGGAGGTAAATTTTTAGCTTAAGCGCTTACTCCTTTTGATGCCTAAAGAATATACTGTTAGAACCTACTTTTTTTTAAAACAAAATTTTGTGTACCAAATTAGTAGGGGATTAGTGCACTGAGTCTCACTAAATATTGAATAATTATGGTTGTGTCACAACATTTGGTATTGATAAATAGAACATAAATGTCGAAATGTTAGGACAAACATATGCAACTTAGTGATGATTAAAACTCTTCATGGTCTATGAAATCAATCAAGCATTAATGAATACCAAAACTTTCACCAGATCTTCGATACCAAATGATGTGGCATTTTGAGTGTGATTAGATAATTAGTGAAAGTGAATGTGAAGTATAGCATTCTTCATCAATTAAACTTATTCAACTTAGAGATGATTAGAACTCCATGGTCCATAAAATCAATTTTTTGTCTCTCTCTCCACATGGATTCCTGTGGACCCTTTGATCCTTTTCTTTTTTTGAACTGAATGGACCCTTGAATCCTTGTTCCTGGTAGACCTTATAGACATGTGTCCTCTTGACTTTGTTGGCCCCTTCGCCTGGGTGCCTTACCAACTCCTTGTCCAGGAAAATGGTACTCAAGTGCACTCAATTGTCCCCATTGGTTTAGACCGACGCAAGTTGCATGGATACGTGGCCTTCCTACGAGCTAAACCAAATGAGCTTTTGCTTTTTTTCACCAATCTCAGGACATGGACAGACTCTGCCTATATATACACAAGCCTTGTCCCATGCCCATGGCACCCACCAAAGTTCAGAAACAAGAATGAAAGAAGATGCACTGTAATTTGGACCTAAGATATCTTATGTCACACTCTTCCGAATCTTTAAATCAAGTCTTGGGACCATGACATTCATCAATTATCTATTTGTGATCATCTTATTATTTTGTGACGCCCCAGAATCCGGAGTCATTTTTCAACCCGTTGATCACCCATCAACCTACAAAAATACCCATGAGTATCGTATAACCCGATACCTAGTCGTTATACCCCATTCACTAGAATCATAACCAAAACGAAATTTAGGCAGAGTTTCCTTCGTATGAAAGCTCTACTCAATATGTAACATATAGTGAGGTCTACATCTCAAAGTATAAGCTTAAAATTAACTCATTTGCACTATCCCAAGAAAAGGGTTTAAGATGTGAAAGTTCGGCAAAATTATATTTAAAATTTCAAGTTTTAGGAAGAGGTGCCGATATGATATCTGAGTCCACTGTTTGCTAGGTACTGGTACCTGATAGTCTAGATACCGGTACCTGAGCCCACTGTCTATCGGGGTACCGGTACCTGAAAGTCTAGGTACCAGTACCTAGGCCCAATGGATTAGGTACCTGTGCTTGTAAGCCTAGGTACCGATACTTGAGCCTTCCGACAGCGTGGTACATGTACCTATTCATTTAGGTACCGGTACCGATACCTCAACCCAAATTTTTCCAATTTTCAACCCTTAACATCCAATCTTATACCATACTCAACATATACGTTCATTTACATGCAAACAGTGTTCAATAGAGTCCCATTAAATGCTCTATCACCAATATACAAGTTCAAAACAACTTTACATGATTAATTTATAAAATGCAATTCAAAAGTCACATTCATGCTCCATCATCAACAAGGGCTCAAATGAGAGTTGTCCACCAGTGCTTGTCTAACACCTGAATATGTTCTCATAAAAGGTGAGCTACGTTTAATACGGTATTTCCTAAGAAGGCTACTCCCCAACCTAGATACATATGAATGTTATATGCAATTCATCACATAAACCATTCATTTAAGAACATACATTTCATAAATGAATGCTACACTTTTCATGTGTCATGTCATGAGATAGAACTCACATGAAATGCAACCTCGAGTTTTCCACCTGTTCCCATAACATATGAAATATCATGCGTATGCGTCCAGGTATTCCAAATCTCCGCTATTGATGTTAGACATCTAATGACCATTTTATAAAATCTTGTGTTTTTCTTGAAGTTAGTATTTATGGACTTCTACCAACGGATACCCAACCGACACGACATCTATGGACTTTCACTAACGGCTCTGCATACGCCGACACACTTTATGGATTCAATACCAACGAGAGTGCGTATCTAAAATTATCGGATCATGCACTCGAGGGAGAATCTAGTCTTTCTTGTTAACTCCAACACATATTTTCAATGCAACCCTTGCGATTTAGTCAAACCTAGGTCCAACTTTCTTGAGTCAACGCATCAACCCAGTAAGGATGATGTTTGATTAAAAACATGTACACACACCCACACTCATGTCAAATGCCCATGAATGTGATGCTACCCGTGCATATGCAAATGTAATGAATAATTGCAATTTACAAGATTATGTTCATCATATCATGAGCATATTATGAATATATTTAATCTCTATCACATTCCTAAATTTCTCAAGTGCCAATTATATCATAAAGTATATAATCACATTTTTCAACACTATTACGCATATAACATTTCTACTTCAAATAACACATTTAATCATCTATAGGCATTTTATCAAACACCTTCAAGGCGCAAATGTAAACACATAGCATGCCCAAATAACACATTCTTCATGAAATTCAATGCCAAACAATTTTATCATACCAAATCATACAAGAATTGGTTTTAGCATTTTCTTATACTTATTTTTCACATTTCAACTGCACTAGGTATGTGTTATACATGATAATACATCTCTAAATCCTACCCATTTTATATTTCAACCCTAAGTTAGAAATAAACATAACTAGAAAAGGAATCCTACCTCTTGTAAAGAATATTCGCGTAGAAGACGTCCCAACGATCTCAAATCAAGATTTTGAAACTCGATCCCATAAATCCCATTCTTGAGCCTTTGCGAAACTCACGATCTTTGGTATGTATACATAGTTCTCGTCGCATAAAACAATTTTAACTCTTAGCCCGAAGAGATTTGATGGTCGAATTGTCATGAATCAGAGGGAGAAGGTGGGAGAACCCTTGATTTTTCTCTTTTTTTTTTTTCTGGAAATTGCAATAACACAATGGGGGAAAAATTTCGCGAGACAAATCTAACAGTGAGATTCATTTCGTCATCCGAGTTTTAGAAAAATTCAAGTTTTCAACTTGCACCGTAATACTAATTACTATTTTACTAGTTTTTTCATAAAATTTTAATTTTCCTAGATTTTAAATATTTTGAAGTTGGCATTTTTCTTTTCATTGCCTTTGTAACACTACTATTCCTCTTCACTTCCATCAAACTCTCTCTTGAATTGACTGTCACAGCCGGTGTCACTCATTTGCGAGCCGGACACTTCTCCGTTACAGTGGCTATCTCTTTGCTGTGCTTGATCTTTTTGTCACAACAACATTTTTTTGTTTGCCTATTCCATTATATTATGCATCTCTGGTTGGGATGGTTGGCTTTTCAGTTTGGTTGAGTGGCCTTTCAATCAGCTCAAGTGCTTTTAACAAATTAGAAGTTAAAAAAACAAAAAAGTACTCAAATTACAATGACAGTCATTAGATAGGTATTCGATAGTTAAAAAAAGTAAAAAATACTTGTATTTACTCTTACTAATTCTCTCTCTCTCTCCCTCTCTAATAAAAACCAAAACGAAAGTTAAAATCTTTTTCTCAGTAATAATAGCACAACTTTTTTGTCTCTCTCCCACATAAAAAATTAATACTAAAAATAAAAAAAAACCTCATTTAATATTTTCAATTTAAGACTTAAATTATCTTAAGCCAATTGATAAATAGAACATAAACGTAAAAATGTTAGGACAGACATATGCAACCTAGTTTAGTAAACACCAAAGCTTTTACTAGATCTTTAATATCAAATGATGTGGCATTTTAACAGTCATTAGATACTTAGTGAAAGTCAATGAGATTCATTAATTCAATCACCCACATTCATTGAGTAAATAAATTTTGATAAGTATAACATTCTTCATCAATTAACATATGCAACTTAGCTTCATATCAATGACCAAAAAAAAAAAAAAGTGCATTTGTCGTAACTTCCAGGAAACTGACTTCGCAAGAAGTTGAAAAGCCTGGGAGCCCATCCTGGGAAAGCACCCTTAATGAAAAAGCTAAAAACTCACATTGGCCAAACAACACATTGCTTCGAAAAGAAAATGGACTTCTTCACTTGAAAAGTCCATCCACAAGGCCCGCCAAACACACCAAAAACTCCATGGTCTATAAAATCGATTCTCTCTCTCTCTCCACGTGGAAACCTATGGACCGGTTGATCCTTTTCTTTTTTGAACTAAAAGGACCCCTTTAATCCTTATACCTGGTGGACCTTATAATCTTGTGTCAAGAATCTTGACTTCGAATGATAGGCAGCTGACTCATTAGGCCGCCGTGATTTAGACCGACGCAAGTTGCATGGATACGTGGCTTTCCCACGAGCCAAATCAAATGAGCTTTTGCTTTTTTCACCAATCTCAGGACATGGACAGACTCGGTCTATATATACACACGCATTGTCCCATGCCCATGGCACCCACCAAACTTTAGAAACAAGAAAGAAAGAAGATGCACTGCAACATGGACCTCAGATATCTTGCTGCCCCACTTTTAAACCTCCTCTTCTTGGGTCTGAGTTTGATTATTGAAGACAGCCTCTGGCTCCTTTGTGTTCCTACTTGATAAACACACTTTTAATTCTTCATTTGTAATTAAGAACATTTTTTATACACAATTAAAACTAAAAATAACATAACGGAAATAAATGGTGGAATTAACATCTTTTAAGTGGGTTTCCATATCTTG